AGAAAATCTGCTGACAAATCAATATCGCAGCCTTGGTGCAGCCACTCCATTACGATTTACGATGTCCAGCTGCAAAAGAGAATAGTATTGCGCATGCAGCCGCGGCACGAAGCAACCTTGACGCAGCCACTACAATGCGATCTGTGGAGACTGAGTTGCGAAACACAATAGAGCTACGCGCAACGGCGTCGGAAATTGCAGCTCCAAAACCGGATCTCACGCCAGAGCGAAAAAAATACTTGTTTGAAAAAAAACATCTTGAAGCATTTCTTACGCTTCTTAAAAGGACTTTTAAAAGGAAAATTACTAGCGCCAAAATTGAGAAAATCTGCTGACGAATCAATATCGCAGCCTTGGTGCAGCCCCATTACGATTTACGATGTCCAGCTGCAAAAGAGAATAGTATTGCGCATGCAGCCGCGGTGCCAAGCAACCTTGACGCAGCCATAACATTGCGTTTTGCAGCATCACGTGGCAAACCTGCACGTATCTACGCACGTGGCAACATCAGATTACGACAATCATGCAGCCATTCCAATGCGATCTGCAACCACAGATTCAAGAAACGCATAGAACTACGCACACAGGGACAACCACTCGTTGCAGAACACAGAGGAGGAACCAAAACGACCGCAGCCGCAACCGCCGCACACACGAGGTACCTTTCATCGCCGGCTGCAGCCACTTTACACGGTAAAACACAACGTTTCGTTCTCCGGCTTCCTCCACACAACACAGAGCGCGCAACATTCATGCAGCCATTCCAATGCGATCCGCAACCACAGATTCAAGGAACGCATAGAACTACGCACACAGGAACAACCACTCGTTGCAGAACACAGAGGAGGAACCAAAACGACCGCAGCCGCAACCGCCGCACACACGAGGTACATTTCATCGCCGGCCGAAGCCCCGCCTTCCTCCCCACAACACAGAGCCCAAAACTTCCCAGGCCTACTCCGGAACTGGCCCTGCATGCGCCAAAGCCTCCCAGACCTTCTCCGGAACCTCCTCCAGAACCTTCTCCAGAACCTCGTTTAACCTCACCCGGCGTCTTGACCGCAGTGCACACCGGAGCTATTGTGGGGCGACGACGCCATTAGCTTATATTGTCGGGGAAAAACGGACATGGCAGCCATAAACATGGTGCTGACGCGGTCACCGGCGATACACGAAATGAAAATCATTTTTGGTGAATTGATTTCACAAATCTTGCTAAGGGGGCCGTTGGTACCCCCTGCCAGGCATACACGTGAGCAAATTTCAGTTCCAGCATGTTTCAACCATTTTGTGGCTCGAGGGTTCGCCATAATTGCCGATAGTTGCCCCATGGCCATCAGTTCAGAATATCTAACGGTCTAACCCTAACGGACCCTGACGACACGGCGCCCAATGAAAAAAACAACGGCAATTGTCCTGTGAATTGGTGTCATGTCTTGGAAGGGATGCGTGTTTGTATGTGTTTGTTTTAGTTTGTTTTTAGGTGGCCCCGGTATTCCCAGGTAATAATCTTCTGGTTTTCACGGGTTTCAGAAGGTTTCCCAGGAAAAAGAGATCAACTGGATTGAGGTGCAGAACCCCCGTGCTTCCAGTTGTCAGGTCAGTTGCCCCTTCAGAAAAACTTGCATTTTCAGGTTCAATACCACTACAAAGAACACATTTCCCTTACGCATGCCTCGTTTTGAAGGTTGCCCTCTATAGTTCTCACACGCGTTTGCCAAAAAACGCGGGGTTATAACCCCCCCCCATATTTCCATGCAATTGAAAAGATGCTTTTGCACCCAAGCGCATTTGTCCTATAGGTGAAAGCTTTTACATGCAGGGGGCGTTGCACACAGGTCTTTCGTCATGCAGGTTGCCTTTGCACCACGGCTTGCTTGCATAAATATATATATATATGTGTGCTCACTCTCCGTTTGCCCCGGCATGTCCTCTAGCCGTTTCCAGATGTCCGGCAGCGCAAACGGGATCCAAGCACCACCTGGCGGCTGGAGCTTGGGGTTCCAGTACTGCTGCGTAAGCCGCGACTTCAAGGAATTGGCCCCGGCGAGAAGAGCGCGCTTGGTCCCGTGCGCGTACTTGGCGTGGTTCTTTTCTTCGACCTCGCCTGCAAACTTGCACGGGTCAAATATTGAAGATGCCCTGCCAGGCAAAAACATCAAAAAACCATGACCAACATTCTGGGATTGTTTGTTGCAAATCCACCTGCACCGAAAGTGCCGGGGCGTGATAGGTTAGGAGTGCCGCCGGTCGATTCGGATGGGCGACCCATTCGATTGGTACAGCTTTGGTCTGGGGGAGCGGCGCACTTCGATCCGAGCAGGGCGCCAAAAGGTGCACGGGACTGTTTTGCATATCGGCGCAACATCGTCTAAACCACCGCTTCGACCCGACAACTCCACAACATCGGCTCCGTCTGTGGTCAACATTGGCAAACGAAGCCCGACCCGGACCCACTTAGCTCCAAGTTGGCCCCAACTTGCACCAGTTTTGTAGCTGTTTCAGCCCAGGCTGAAATCCACATGGCTTCAAAACGGATGGTTTTCGCAATCCTGTTTCAGCCCAGACCTGGTAACGCCCGCTTTGGTATCGCTCGCGTTTTCGCTGCAGGGTTCCCCGTGCTGTGCCCCCACTGGGCCACGCTTCGAGCGAAGCTGATGCCACAGGCGCCCGGTTGCAACACAGTGAACAAGACCAACATCGGTCCAACATTACCACTTGGCTCCGACTTGGGCTCACGTTCGGCCCCAGAAAGCGCGACTTGGGCCCAAGTTGGACCAAGTTTCGCCCTCTGGGGGCAGCGCAGGCCTAAGCCAGGCCCAGCCCGACAAGTTTTGTGGATTCAATGCAGCACGCTGAAAACGAGCATTTGACCCATGTTCCCAGCATTGTTTTATTTTGCCTTGGTGGGAATTCGTGCGGGCCCCTATTCCCCACGTTGGGCCTGTCTTGTGCGTGCCCGCACAGCGCAAAGCTGCGCATGCTAAGCCCAACTTGCGTCCAAACGTGCACTAGTTGCGCTGTGTTGGATCACAGCTGAGCTCAAGTTGGGCCCAAATTGGCGTCAACTGGCCCAAGGCCGGTGCAAGCTAGACCCCGTGTTCAGCCCAACCAAGTGCCAAGCACGGCCAAGTTTGACGTCGGCTTTCGTTGGGCTCAGCAGGCATGCTTCTTCCCTCTGTGTCCTACCTAACCCCAGGGCGCGGGTGTCACTTGTATTAAAGCGACTCGAACATATAGCTACCATTGCCGATGGTCAAACAAGATATAGCCAGCGCATCAAAGGCGCGCCCAACATTCATGCAGCCATTCCAATGCGATCCGCAACCACAGATTCAAGAAACGCATAGAACTACGCACACAGGAACAACCACTCGTTGCAGAACACAGAGGAGGAACCAAAACGACCGCAGCCGCAACCGCGGCACACACGAGGTACCTTTCATCGCCGGCTGCAGCCACTTTACACGGTAAAACACAACGTTTTGTGCTCCGGCTTCCTCCCCAAAACATAGCCCATGCAACATTCATGCAGCCATTCCATTGTGATCTGCAACCACAGATTCAAGAAACGCATAGAACTACGCACACAGGAACAACCACTCGTTGCAGAACACAGAGGAGGAACCAAAACGACCGCAGCCGCGACCGCCGCACACACGAGGTACATTTCATCGCCGGCCGAAGCCACTTTACACGGAAAAACACAAGGTTTCGTGCTCCGGCTTCCTCCCCAAAACACAGCCCATGCAACATTCATGCAGCCATTAAAATACGTTTCGCAGCATCACGTAGCAAACCTGCACGTATCTACGCACATGGCAACACCAGATGACAACAATGATGCAGCCATTGCACGAGGGTATTGCTATGTGATGTCAAGTCTCACACCACACTCTCACACCACCCTTCATTGAGTGTATTGTTATGTGATGTCAAGTCTCGCACCACCCTCTCACCCCACCCTTCATTGAGTGTATTGATATGTGATGTCAAGTCTCACACCACCCTGCATTGAATGTATTGTTATGTGATGTAAAATCTCACACAACCCTTCATTGAGTGTATTGCTATGTGATGTCAAGTCTCACACCACCCTTCATTGAGTGTATTGTTATGTGATGTCAAGTCTGACACCACCCTTCATTGAGTGTATTATTATGTGATGTAAAGTCTCACACCACCCTTCATTGAGTGTATTGTTATGTGATGTCAAGTCTCACACCACAGTCTCACACCACCCTTCATTGAGTGTATTGTTATGTGATGTAAAGTCTCACACCACCCTTCATCAGGTAAAAGTCATACTTAACTCGGAAGAATGCTTCCCAACTTCCTTTGACTATATATTTATTTTTGGTGATATATGTATAATGTGTAATATATATATATATATATATGGTGATATATGTATATATATATATATATTATTTTACATATAGTTAGTTATATAACTATATATATAGCTATATCTATAATTATATAATATAACTATATAGGTATATACACGTACATATATATATATAGTTGTTGTACATGCATGACACGGTGAAGTCGCTATGATTTATCCAGCTCTATGTGTACAGAATATCATGTAATACATCATTCATATCTACATATGGGGGTTTCCTAAAATGGGGGTACCCCCAAATCATCCATTTTAATAGGATTTTAATCAGATTGTCCATTATAAATCATCCAGCTATTGGGGTATCCCCATTTATGGAAACCTCCATATCTAATCATATCTGGTTGGTGGTTTCAACCCATCTGAAAAATATGAGTTCGTCAGTTGGGATGATGACCTTCCCAACTGAATGGAAAGTCATAAAATTCATGTTCCAAACCACCAACCAGTTGGGGACATCAATGATTATAGGGATGATTATGTATTATTCATACAAAATACATCAAAATACATCAAAAGACTCTTCCGATGCCATTGGTGTGGTGATTGGACCCCAACCCGCACCGAAAAATTGCCGCTGGGAGAACCCGACGGATTCCCGACATCACCTTAGAGACGGAACCAGCGATGCGAATCCGCAAGTGGCTACTCCTGTTTGTGCATTTTTCTAGGCCCTAGGCTGGTTTTTCACAGATTGTGTTTTTTTTTGTGTGGGTGTGTCTCTCTCAGATGTACATTGGTGTATCCTAGCGCACCCTCTACAGCATCTGTATCAACGACCAAGTCACGAGGTGGTGGGCAAAACCACAACGTACTTACGGTAGTGCATGTGAATCCACAAATCACATGCACGAGTCGCAATGCACGAGTCTCGATGTCGAGCATTTGCTATCCCAAGTCTCAGTTCAAGATGTCTTTGTTGGTGGGAGTTCCGCTAAAGCCTCTAAGCAATTGATTTTAATTCATCAACCTGGAAAAATGTAATGTTGATATATGTTTATAATAAAATATCTCTAAGCCTAACCATCATGTCGAATGACATCACCCAATGAAAGCCCGAGATCCCTCACGCAGATCTATGCTTCCCAGCGTGTCACGCATCTGGGAGATCCGCGATCACAGCATCGAAGAAACCTGCACCGCTTCAGCAGCGAATTCCCAGGTGGACATGGAAATAACCCATACTTGAAGACAGGCAGTCTCCAAAGGCATGAAATGCCGTGGTATATTTCTTTAATAAGAAGATCGATGTCCAAACTTCGGAAACTCACCTTCCAGCAAACATGGCGAGGCACAATCACCATTTTCAATTGAACGTTCGAACCGTCGTAAACCATAACTTGCTAAGAATGGAAAATCCCCTGTACATGGAGGTTTGAATGGAAAAATCCCCTGTAAGTGAAATGGGGGATGTTGGATAGCCATCCACGCTGAAATCCATGCTTGATATTCCGAACTACCTGGAACTTACAGAAAGGAATACTCTATTTCAAAGCCACAGGTTTGCTTCTCAAACCCCCATCCGCCATAGATTATCATAGATTGCAATATCACAATAATTGCTGGTTGATAATAATAACAACAACGATAATAATAATAACAAGAATAATAACAATAATAATAATAACAACAATAATCATAATAACAATAATAATAAATGCGTACAATATGTCACATCACGATATATCCACCAAAAATAATTCGAGAATTCAAGTTCAATCAATTTCATGCTGGTTGATCTATTGGTTTCAATAAATAATTCAATAAATGATAATACCCTCTGGTAAACAAACATAGCTATTGAAAATGGCCCATAGAAATAGTTGATTTACCGATTTACCCATTAAACATGGTGATTTTCCATCGTTTTTTGATGTTTTTTCTATGTTTCCCAGGCCGGGTACATACTCGTTGATCAGGCGAGTTCCTCATCCCACAGCTCGGTTTTTCGCACCTCTTTCAAGGCCGCGGCTCGCCGCGGCGCCGACGGGTGAGCGACGCGAGCGACATATTGATACGCCGGGATGGGCCCAAAAGTTGTCGTAGCAAAAGTGGCTAGCAACTCACTGCCTAATTAGGGCTAGACTTATCTACAGCAGGGTAAATTGACACTGGTTTTGACACGTGTTGCATCGTGTTGCACCAATGACACTGGATCAACTCAGAGGATCCTCTAGCCAGCACGCCACAGCACATGGCAAGCGGTAGACCCGGTAGGCGATCAAGATCAACATATAACTGGACGTACGACCAGTACATGTCATGTGTTGTTCAAGTATGTCTTGGTCTTCAACAGAAATTCTCCTACCATCTGGTTATTTAACATAGCCATGGAAAATCACCATTCTTAATAGGTGAACCATCTATAAATGGGCCATTTTCCATGGCTATGTTAAATAACCAGATGGTACCCCTTCTTTTTCTTCTGCTTCGTCCTGTTCAGTGGCAATCTCACCTCAACAAATCCACTGCACTTCGGTGCCTCACTTCACCACGGCAGCGAACATCCAGCCCATTTTGCCAGCGCAGCATCTCGCAGCTTTCGCAAAGGCACCGCAACTTCGTTAGCCATCCCAATGGGACTTGTCCGAAAGTCAGGAAACAAGATGGAGATTTTAGTTGGGGAAACCGATGATACACCCAAGGGGAATCCTGGCCCACAACAGTCATGTTGCAGCTGCGCACCACAACAACAGTCGCCTGAAAAGTCGTCGCGACTGCTCAGTCTGGTGATACTCAGGGTGTGGGGAAAGGGCCACGGCTTTTCCTCCTGGAACTGCCCGTGAATTTGTCATTAAAGAGACCTGGGCTACTTCTAACAGGGCTACTCCTAAAAGTTGCTATCCTTTCAAAAAAAACAAACAGTTCTAAAGAATCCCAAAATGTTATCATTAAAAAAAACTTACAAAAAGTCAATGCAACAATTCAAAAAGAAAAACTTTTAAAAAAAGAAAAATCAAATCCAAAAAATCAGAAAAACAAATCTAAAAGACAATCAAAAAAACCGATCAAAAAAACAAGTTGATATGAAAAATATTTAAAAAAACAAAAAGAAAACAAAAAGAGAAAAAATAAACAAGTCTTTTAAACAAACACATAATGATTTTTAATTTAAAATTATTCAAACTTATTTTTTAAAAAATAATCTGAAAAGTATTAATGAAAAATACTTATGTGGAATTACATATAGTTATTTGGAATGAAATGGAATTATTTGCAACGAAATTGAATTATTTGAAATTAAATGAATGAAAAGGAATGTTCTAGGAGTGTCCTTATAAGGAATGTCCTTCTCCATAGACAAGAATTTGTTTCTCGACCTCGTGGAAAAACGGTTGAAAGCCTGTTGCCCTAGTTGCCGTCCAAAAGAATGAAGAGAATATAGACTATCATGCGATGGTGTATAGTTATATACACGTAATCTACAAAAACTTGGGACTTGTTATATAATTTTGAAACATTGTTTCGGCGTGGGTTTGTGCTGGTACCAAGAATTTGGGAACTGCCAAGATATTATATAATTTGTATGATTTCAGATGTTTGAAATTACCCAAATTTGGGGCATTGAACTTCAATCTTGCGGAGTTGTAACATGTTCTCGGTTTGACTGAAAATAGGCAACTCCTCCATTAGTGGCTCATAAATTTCTTTGTTAAACATAATTTTCGGGATACACAGTATACACCATTTTCAGACACACTCTACTATCATATCAAGTTGGTAAAACATATCCCATCGAATATCCCATGATGTATCCATGAAACCATTACATTCAATGCTTAAGGCCTTGTTATGTGATGGTTCAAAGCTAGCTTCCTGCTGTTTCCTCCAAATTTTCGTTGCGTCCTTGAGCTGTCTGCCACGCCCAAATTGCAGCATGGCCCTGCATCGTTGCCCAATCCGTGACTTTGGCGTCGCTGCAATTGGCAAACACGGCCAGTGGCACAGGTGGGCCTGCGGCCTACCATGGAAGTGCAGCGACCCGGTTGACTTGGGTCACTCCACCAGGCTGACCGGGGCGATGACTGGAATGGGCTGTCCTTGAGATTCCATGAACACAATGAATCAATGAATACATGTAAAATAGGAAAATCCGGAATGTTTGAAAGCATACCAAGGATTCACTGATGTGGGGGAGGTAACTATCCTCAAGGGACATAAATGCCAACCCCTATTTTCTCAGGTGCACCTCATTTCCATTCATGCCCCACATCACCAGGCCTGAAGATTGATCTCTTCCTGTTCTGCAGATTCTTGCTGTGGCATCTTCCCCGGTTGGTAGTTGCGGTAAGTCTCCAAATCCAGCCTGGTACCAACAAGTTGAGCCACCCACAGCCATGATCCCAGTCGTAGGGATTTTCAACATGTTGGCAAAGTGATGGATGACTATAACCTTTTCTTAGCTTCGTTTAATCCCCGCCTATTTTTTGGGCATGAAAATGACTTTTGTCCAGCTGGCTGCCTCAAACCCACCCAAACTCCTACCACAGAAAAGAACAATTCAAAATTCAGCAAACTTTTTTGGAAATCAATTGGACAGAAATGAACTCTTCGACTTGCACCCAGTGGCGCAACCAGCAACGGCCCATTGGCATAGCGCAGATCATCGACGGAACCCTCCAGTCCAAGAATTCTTTGCCCCTCACTGGTAAAGTCGATGCTCAAATCACCTGCAGCTCCCAGCAGGGCTCCCAGCAGGGCTATCATCGGTTGGGAACTCCACGTATACTTTTTATGGCCTTGAAAATTGGTCAAGCCGCTCCATCATCACATATCATCACTGGTCAGGATCGACAGAAAGACAACAGGTTTGAAACGACCCGTTTCAGCATAGCTTCCAACCCTGATTGTATCTCTCCAATCAGAAAATGAAAAGAAAACAAGTTCGTTCTACAATAAACAAAAAGCTCCCAATGGAGGAACAAATCTTCCATCGCATGGCAAGAACGAGCAGCCAATGCCACGGCGCCAGTTCTGATTGTCGTGCGGCACCAGTGGCAAGGCATGACCCCACAACGGGAGATCTCTGCAGCTGAGCCAATGTGCTCCAGCGCACACACCCATGACCGAGCCACCTTGAAGGCTGGTGCTGCGGGATTTTTTCACCCTCTCTGATGCGGAAAGACATGTATACAGATACACATGGGTAAATTGTGTATTCAACCCAGATATAAATATTAATTATATATATATATATGGTCCCGTCCTCCGTCTCTCCACCCCCCCCTCCCCCCCCCATGGGTTGGGTCCCCAGGTAGCAGCCCCAATTCCCTTCTATTTGCAAGCTATTGGCAGCATTTCTGAGGTCCAGCTTCGTATTTGCTAGGTCTTTGCAGCATTTCTGACTACCAGCCTCGCATTTACTAGGTACATGCTACCTTTTAGGCGACCTACGTAGCACACATACTCCTTCAAAGTACCTACGTGCTACCTATAGTCATATATATATATACATGTGCTATGTATCTACTGTATCTACTTCCTATTTACTACCTGTGTACTCTGACAACACTACCTGTGTTTAACATATACCGTACCTACCATACATGTCAATGATGCCATGCATACCATACCTATCATATCTATCATACATACAATACATACCATACATATGAAATGTAATTACCACACCTACCATACATACAATAGCAAACATACATGCCATACATACCACACCTACCTTACATAGGAAAAATGCCATACCCGTCATACTAACCATACATACCATACAGACCATACATACTATCATATCAAATATACCATGCCCAACAGATTTACATACCATACCTACCATCCATACAATTCCATACAATACCAACCACTCATGCCATACATACCATACCTACCATACATACCAAACATACCATACTTTCCAAACATGCCATACCAGACCGACCATACACACCATACATACCCAACATACCATACCACACCCCCACCACACCGCAGGGGGGGGGAGGGGGACAGTGCCACACCCCCACCACACCACAGGGGGGGGAGGGGGAAGATCTCAGATGGGGCCAGTATATGGGACCCATCCCATGGGGGGGTGGCAGGGCCTGGTATATATATATATACATAATAATGATTAATCATGATTGTGATGATTTACTTTATGTTTAAGAAAACCAACTTAATAAAATATGATATGATATGCACCTTCGGCCAGGTGCCGTCGGATCCTCCGGCGCCCGAGCACCCCCAGCCGCTGCGCGTGTTCGTTGGCCATGCCACCGTGGAGGAAGATCACGTCGCCTGCGGCGCGACCGGCTGGGATTCTTGGTGAAACAACAAGGGGGGGGTTCCAAACATCCGGGTACCCCTAAATCATTTCTATAGGATTGTTCATTATAAACCATCCATTCTGAGGGTACCCCCATTCATGGAAACCCTCATAATCAGGAGAAGTGCTGATTTCACTGCGAAAACGGTGATCTAACCAGCAGAAATGTGGATTTAACATGATTCAACCAAGGAAAATGTTGACTTTTACCCAGGAAAAACAGGATTTGAACAAAAAAAGAGTAAAGATTGGGATTCATACACACACACACGGATTTGAAGAGAATTCACTGGGTTGATTCAAGGCAAAACAGAATAAAGAAACAATAAGAAATACATACATCATACCGTTGTCAGAGTTCTCAATATCGGGTTGCAAAATTGTAACACTTGATTCATACAATCATCATCTGATGTTAAGAACAGATTTCCCAGTTCATGAACTATGATGATTGTGACAATCGCTATTTTTTTGACGGCTATATAACATGTATATATATATAATCCCAGATTTGCTCAAAACAAGAGGGCGTTTGGTCACTGCTCATGTTGATACTGCCTGGGGACCATCCGGAACTTTGATTTAGGATGTGGATTTAGGCTGTTGCAAAGTATTGAGTTTTCCATTTCAGCCATGTCATACTATGTATACATTGATGGATGGTGTCAAGAAACTATCACTAAAAGTAAGTACCACATGCAAATTTCATTCCAACCTTTGGGATACTTTCGTTTGAATGGCTTTCCAGTGTTACAGGCAGTTTTGAGCCAGAAATAGACTCGCCAAGTGTCGTTTAGTGAAACAAACCTCAACGTGTTGATCCAGTTATAGACCTTTGAGGATCTTGGGGAAAAAACGTCTCAAGATGGTCTGCCAAAACTACTTCCCATAGAATTCTGCGGTATTCAGCTGTGTATACATGTACTTTACATGTACACCGGTATACCTGGGTCATCTTGGCCTCATGGCCTTGACTCAAGTCATTGGGTTCCCCAAATTCTTTCACATCCCAACCCATACCCGTATATTATATCTGAGCTATCGTTTGGGATCCAAGCATGGCCATGAATGTTCTCAAGTTAGATCCATCAATCTTAGAAAAAAATACGAAAAAACAGCGTAAAACGTGTTTTAGATAGGCCATCTTTAGGGCTGCTATAAAAGACATGCCATCCCTGGCGGCGTTGACACCTGGCTGCAGTGTGGCGTCCAGCTCTTGCGGTGCCACGATGACACGCTGAGCCTCGGGCACAAGCGCCGCGAAGATCGACGGCAGCTCGTCACCTTTGCCCAAGTCCAGGATCACAAGCCTGGCGGTGGACCACCTGGTGGACCGGACCGGATACAGTGAAACGAAGTAAACAAAAACTTAGACACGCAGAATTATACGTACATATTGACTATTTAGGCACATATGTTTCTGTTTGGTTTTATATATTTGCATAAATTCATATATGCATAATGCATATGTACACGTGTGCATAACTCTGTGTGGTCCAGCGTTCCAACACCCCGGCCATGGTAATGGTTCAGTAATAGATACTGTATTACTGACCCAACCCTCCCCCGCCTGTGGTGTCTTGGAGGGGTGGGGACGGGCTTATATCAATAGTCTGCGGGAAACATATGCTAAACATATGTAGTGTTCTGGGAGTAATAGGTAGTAAACAGGAAGTAGATACGTAGCATATACGTGGTTAGAAGGGTACTTTTGAGGGATCATATGTACTATGTACGTCGTCGAAAAGGAAGATAAAAGGAGTATATGAGAGGTGTGTAAGGAGTATGCAGCTAAATGAAGTAGATGGAGGGATACAGCAGGTGGATAGGTAGTACAGAGGCAGCATAAGCGATGTATCACTACGGTAGTAGTGCAATGGTAGTGAGAGCATAGGTATATGTTCGATATAAATGGGTGTCATGGGTGTTGTATATAGGTAGTATATAGCAGGTGTGGACATAGTAGATCTGTACATCGTAATCTATACACGTACAGGTCGGATATTTGGATATTTGGAAGCTATGGCTATAGTGGAAGAATACTACAACTTGCGGGCAATTACGTGGGGTCGGCGTAAGAAGGCGAGGTGAATCTGTTGAAACCATTAATGTGGTTGGGTTGTTTAATTATATACCCAAATGCTTCATGTCAAAAGACAATGGTAATATTTCTTTCAGCACATGCTTACAGAATGACAAATATGTTGCAAAACAAAACAAATATCATGTTTATTCATCATGGGGTTTCTGTTTTGATGTTACGTATATGTATTCAAGTGCGGCTCTCGCGATGTATATGTTTGCCATTGTGATGATAGTACAGTTTCATACACGTTCGTTGCATTTCATCAAAAATGGACCATAGATTACCATGCTATTGTAGATGCCCTCGCATCGGGTGTTTCTATTCCTTTTCAAATTCTTCTGGATGTTCTTGTCTCTTGAACTGCCTTGATGATACTATGTTTTTTCGTGTCTGGATTCTCTACACAGTTGCATATGATAATTGCACACCTTGCAAAATGATGGTTGTTTGTGAAATGGTGTCGTGTTTCTTCCCTTCCCTGCTTTATGGTAATATTCTTTGTTTCAAGCCTGTCTGTGACCATCTGTGACCCCTTGTTCTTACCCCAGACTCCATCATATTAACATTCTATCGCAAAGATTTTGCCCAAATGGTTTTAAGAATATGTTGAAAAAATTGGCATGCACAATGTAAAGGCAAGGCGAAGATAAGGCTGTTCATAACTCTGTATACAGTGTGTATAATATATATATATATTGCGAATGGGATGTAGGCTACGGCATGAACACACTCCCATGTAAAATAGCCCTTAATCATTCACTGCCAAAGGTTGCATGTATGTGCCCCTTTGGCTCAAGACGCTGCCAGTTCCGCAGAAAAGGAAGCAATGCCGAAACCGCTGTTCGTTCGTCATCACTGGTGAGGGAAATCAACAACCTTCTATAACTGCCAAGAACATATAATCGGGGAGATAACCTCCGATTCACAGGTTATCAGCCGTAGGACTCCTACGGAGCCTACGAGCGGGTAGCCGCGGGCCTTACAGATGACTGAACAGGATAGCAGTGATAACGCATTTTCTTTCTCTGGACATGCCGTTGCACCAGCTGCCGGCACGCAGTCAAATTCTTCACAGAGTATCGACACTGGTGGAAGCGATGCCTCAGAACTGAGAACGAGCCTACCCAGGCGACCTCTGGTTGCTCCTAGAGGGAGACAAATTTCGACAATGCAAGCAATTGAAGATAGGGACAGCACACCTGGAAAGAGAAGATCATCTGCACGACAATTGTCGCCTCCGATGACTCCAAGGACTAAGGCAAAGACTACGTCGTCGAATCCGCCTTCACCGATTCAGGACGCTACTCCATCAGGGACAGGATCTTATCAGCAAGTGAACGCCCCGTCGAGTGGTAGCGACATCTTCACTGCCTATCAGAGCGAATTAGCTGAATACAAAACGTCACTGGAAAAGGCTACTGAACAAGAATCCGTACTTCAGGCAAGATTGACTGAGACGACAGCATATGCCTATCAACAATTTAACTTCCTGGAAAGCACCACTCATCAAGAGATGATGTCGATGACTGAACAACTCCAGATGCTGAACTTCGAGTTACAGGCTGCACAACAAGAAGATGAAGGTGCAACCTACAGGATCGAAGAGTTGGAGAGGTATCAGACTATGTCGAATGAAGCTGCATCTCATTTGGAATTCAAATACTCACGACTACGTTCGGAATTCGATGAACAAATGGGACAAGCGAACGCAATTATGGCACATGTGGGCGCGGATGCGAATGCTCACATCAATCAACTCAGACTGGAACTAGAAAACGCAGAGATGAATGCAAAGCAAGAAGCTCTGGCGGTCGGCTACGCTAATGACCAGACATGTGCCTTACAGATCGAGATGCTCGAGGTTGCCAATCAAAACCAGACAATGAAGCACACCATGGCCATGAACGTTAGACGACTGGAAACTGAGCTCGATGCTGCTGACATGAAGAGGGACGAGATCATGAAGGAGTTCCGTGGTAACATAAGATTTGAACATGACCGTTATGCAGAATGTGAACATCACTTAGCTTTGGAAGAATCGCAACTTCGATTGCAGGTGATCCACAATGAAAACTTACAATCTCGACTAGCGACTTCTGAGAGCAAGGTTTCTGAAGAATCTCTAGCTGAATCAAGTGGCATGCGGGACATGAGGATAATGGGACTACGTTCGGAACTACACATGAAACAAAGTCTTTTAGATCGAATGCAACAACAACTGACTGAATCGAAGAATCAATATCATGAACTTTCCTGTCAACAAGCCAGAAGATCCTCACCAAGCAGATCACCGCATGGAGGACCATTATACGAGATGTATATGCAAGCCGTGCGTGAGCGCGACAGCTTAAAGGAATCCAAGGCTGAAGTTGACAAGTTGTACTTGCAAAACAGGACTGAGCTCATTGACACTGAGAACCTGCTCAAAACCTTCCAGCAACATTTCGATGAAACTGGTAAGAAGTATCAAGATGCTCTGAACAAGATCGATCACATGAGTAGCAATCCGAATGTGACGAGTAACTTATTCGACAGTTTGCACAATGAAATCAATGACAGGGATACAGCCATTGCTCGCCTTCATACTGAAATTGAAGCCCAAAAGGATTCTCTTGAACGTGCTCACAGGGATGCAGGTAAGTCCATCAAGATGTTGAACGACAGAAGACTCGTGATCAAAGGTGCGACTGACTATTCCATTCCTGAAAGCCACTTGACCGAGATGCATCAATTGGCTAGTGAGCGTTTCGCTGAGGTAGAAGAGATGTCGAGCACCATTGCTGCCCTGAAGTTGGAAAACCAGGCTTATTCTTCTTCATCATTGAATAGACCGACTACATTACATGGGTACCCCAGTAATGCTATGCCTCGGAATGAATGTGAAGAGAAGTGTGCCAAACTGAAAGCAGAATTGGACGAGATGAAGCAAGAGAGGAACGCTGAAGTTCGAAATCTTCAAGATGAATTGAAGAAGATGGAAGATCGGAAAGATTACTACAAGAACAATTTCTCTCAAGCTGAAGATCGCGCCAACGATGAAGAGCAGGAATACCGAGCAGAAGCTGAAGCCTTCGAGAAGCTCAGGAACGAGTACAACACCAATGTCAAGGAGTTGGAGAACCTTGAGAGGGATAGATCTAAGTCATCCGTATCTCTAAGAGAAGCCGAAAAGATCAGCCTCCAACCCTGGCCTAAGACCACTGAACTTTCATCCTGGAAGGGAAGTGTCGTTCATGAAGTTTGTGTCGCAAGTGGAGATCGAAATTATGAAGATTGGAAAGCGTGGCTAGCTCCGTGTCTCGCAGATCAACCTGACTTGGAAGCTCTGGCCAAAGCACCCGATGTAAGATTCCAATCCATTGATGCCAAGCTTTCCAATGCCTTGAGGAAAGTCATTGACAATGCTGGGGACAAGTCCATGCAAGTGAAGTATGACATGTCTATGAAGAACCAAATGTATGGGAGGAGTGGGGACTTCATCAAAGGGCGAGAACTATTCGCAATGGTATTGATTAGCTTCAAATCACCTGACCACACTGAAGTTCTCTACAACGCCCATCATTTGTACATGTTCAACTACTATGGAGATGACCAACTTGAGGCCTTCTACAACAAGTGGCTTGACATCATATACAACATGAAACATGATGATCTGCCTTCTGCAAATTCCCTGCGTGACACATTGTTCCGGAAGATTGAACATTCAAAGCTTATGGCTTTTGATATCAACCGATACAAAACCTATGATGAAGGGCATCCTGAGAAGACCTATGCTTCCCTAACTGGCATGATCAAAGCATACATAGCAAGAGGAAAGCAAGAACGACTGTTGAAAGATAGAGAACGTGCAGTGAAACTGTCATTGTCCTCTAACAAGACGACACCTGCCCTGGAAGATGCTGATAAACCTGCTGCTCCCATTAAGACCAAGAAGGAGAATGAAGCAGCTGCATCGTCTACAGGTGATCCTCCCAAACGACCTAAAGCGAAGGCGAAGAGTGAAGCTGCATCAGTACTTCCGACACCTTCTCCGAAATCTCATGCCGACAAGAACAACAAGAAAGGCAAAGGTGGGAAGGGAAGATCATCTTCACCCGTTGATAAGAAGAAGATTTTCTGCAACTACTTCTTCAATAAAGGAGGATGCAACAAAGGTGACAAATGTCTTTACAGTCATTCTCAGAAGGTCTATGATGCCAAGATGAAAGGTAAGAAAGGCAGAAG